CAGCACCAAGTTTGCACGGTGTTCAGGAGATTTTGTTCAGATGCTCCACAGTTCTTTACCTGGGACCTTGGCAAGGTGTTTCATAGTCTGAGAAGATGCACTCCATCCCAAATCTGCTGCATGATCTCCTCACCCTGGGAGGGCTCAGCTGAAGGGCAGACTGCAGCAAGCACAGCTGCCTACTACTCAGAAAGGAGATCCCAAGAGCGACCAGGAGGCACCGTACCATCCTCACGCCTCCCCTCCGAAATACTAATAGGAAAGCTTTAAGCCAGATGCCTGTCCTTACCCTCCCTTCACATCTGTAACGCAGACCATTATCCTCATCTCACCCACTGCAGCAGAGATTAGGACCAGCTTGGCTCTCCTTCATTCTTCGCATCCAGCCCAGAAGATTGGCACATCACCACACAATGCCATGCATCCATTTGACCCTCCAGAGCACAGTTGGGCTCCCCAGCCAAGCGAGTGGTCTGCTGGGCACTGCGGAGCTCAAAGGGGCTAACAAGAGCACCAACACATGCCTGGCCCTGTCCAAAAGAGCAAAACCCCAAAGTTCTGCACCAGAACATGAACTTGCAGAGACAGGGCTGGGATATTTTCAGTTCAGATTGATGCAGGACCTACTGATGTATCTGTACAAGAGGAAACCAGGAGAAGCTCTTTCCATTAAGGAGAATATTAATCCAGAATCCTATAGAATTGCAGCCGAGGACCCATTGCTTAAATGGAACCTTGGCACATGGTTACAGCAGGGGACGAACACAGCACGTGGCCAGGACAACGAAAGGGTCAGGCAGGTGGTTACAGGTCACCTGGGACATGGCTAATCCCTGACAACTAGTGGAAAGTTGATAAAGGATTTAGAGAACAGAGCCTAATTACTGTCCTACTTTAATCTCAGTCAAGAGCTGCTTAGTAGAAACTATCCCCTATCAAGTGTGCTCAATTCCATTCCTGGGTTGAACAACTTTGTAATTGCTCTGAACAAGCACAATTAGCAGACAGATCTGAGACAGAGCTGTATTTTTCATTGGAGTTTCAAAGCTCACGCTGAACAACTGATTGCTGTTTGAGATCTGATTCCATCAGCCTTCTAAAGGGGTTCAGGTCGGCACTAATCATATCATAACCAATAAAACCTCAATGGGAAGGGAAGAGCTCGAGCTGAAGAATGGAAAAGAAGATGAAGAAGTTACTTGAAAACACCAGCAGGTATTTTAACCACGAGAAGACACAGAATCATAGAATCAACCATAGAATGGCTTGGGTTGGAAGGATCCTCAAGGATCACCAAGCTCCAATTCCCCTGCTGCAGGAGACCTCCACATTTAATATCAGACCAGGCTGCCCAGGGCCCCATCCAACCTGGCCTTGAACACCTCCAGGGATGGACGGGGCATCCACAACCTCTCTGGGCAGCTGTTCCAGCACCTCACCACTTTCATAATAAAGAAAGAAGACATCTGCTATTAAAGGACACTGAAGAACAACATGGGAAAGGACAGCAAAATACCTGCAGGTTGAAACGGATTTTAGATGATTAGCAATGCATGCAATCGCAGGGGCTCATCTGCAGATGACAGCTGAGGGCAGGGAAAGTGAGTGGCACTGCACTGCCCGCATACACAGCTGTCAGATGGAATAACCTCAGTGCTTCTCCTGCCTTTCTTCTGCACCAGCTGCAGCCATTAATGCATAATTGAGGAGTGCAGGAAACACAAGGCTGAAGATGGAGCATTTTATACCAAGAGCTATGAGGAGGAGTGAGAAATCTGACAAACTTTGATTAGCAGCTGCAGTAGGATCCCGGCAGAGAGCAGGCAGCAATCATCCCATCACACGTCTATGAGAGAGACCTGGATGGCATCCATACCACAAGCAGGAGACAACCACAGCTCATCACACACAGCCATGCTGTTGCGACGCTCCCTCTCATGCCCCTGTTTTATATTTAGAAGGGAATTTCTCCCCTGCCAGCCTCTCAGAGGGACTTTGTCCCACATGTTCGCAGTGCCCAGCATAAGAATCACAGAAAGAAAAGCAGACAAATGGGCCTGGAAGGGACTTCAAGCAGGCATCTCATCCTTCCCCTGCCCCAGGGCACCAATTACTACACTTGCTCTTTTTCTAGCTGAGAACTCTCCCTGGTGGGTGGGACACCAACCCACCCAGCCAGATGAATTGGTTGGACCTTCACTTTAACATCTTAACCCCTCGGCCACCCCCCCACAATAACACAGACCAGGCACCAAACACCACATCAGCACAACTCAAAGCAGCCATAACACCTAGTTCTGTGTGAGAAACTGATAACAGTGCAGCGCTGTAATGTTAACACGTTGGCAGCAAGACCCAGCACAGCTTATTTCTGTCTTCAGGACTGCTGTTCCTGGAAGGGAAGCCAGCCCGGCTCCTTGAAGACACACTTCTTCCATGATGCCCACAGCAGTGAGTCACCTTTTCTGAGAGTTTTCATCATCTGCTTTTCCGGGCTCTGCAGCACATCGTGTTTACCCTGAGCCAATCCAATTTAAGTTCTAAAGATCCTTGCAGCAGGTATTGCTTACGCTTGGATCCTTAACGAGCCTCCTAACGAAGAACTGCTGTGCTTCAGCAAGTAATGCAACAAAGCACAAACCTCCCTTCCATGTGCCTCTGACACTCACAAGTTTTCCTACAGACAGACACATCCAACCTTAATATTAAAGAATGAGTTTAACTACACTTCCTTCTATGAAAGAGAATAAAAAGAACCACCCACATTCCCAGCAGTGGCAGTTTCCATACATTCTAACCAGTTGGTTCAGTTTTGAGGAGAAACCCAACTCTCAGTGTGTCCTATCAACAGCATCACCCAGTTTACCTTTTAAGGAGAACTTCTGGAAGAAGAGTGCTGTGTCCTAAAAACAAAACCAACCAGATAAATGGGCAACCCCACAGCAAGGCCAGGTCCAGAGGAGAGCCACTAAGATGATCAGAGGGCTGGAACACCTCTCCTATGAAGAAAAGTTGAGGGAACTGGGCTTGTTTAGCTTGGAGAAGAGAAGGCTCTGGGGAGACCTCACTGTGACCTTCCAATACTTAAAGGGAACGTATAAACAGGAGGGGGAATGGCTGTTTACGAGGGTGGATAGTGATAGGACAAGGGGAATGGCTTCAAACTGAGACAGGGGAGGTTTAGGTTGGATATTAGGAGCAAGTTTTTCACACAGAGGGTGGTGAGGCACTGGAACAGGTTGCCCAAGGAGGTTGTGGATGCCCCATCCCTGCAGGCATTCAAGGCCAGGCTGGATGTGGCTTTGGGCAGCCTGGTCTGGTCCCTGCACATAGCAGGCGGTTGGAACTGGATGATCATTGTGGTCCTTTTCAACCCAGGCCATTCTGTGATTCTACGATCCTATTGCTCCACACTGCAAAGCTTTGCTTGGTTGGGTTCCTGCCCACAGTATCAACCCACAGCTGAAACCCATTCATTTTTAAACAGCCACCTGAGTCATTTAAAACAGTGATTTTGGAAAACTCCAATATGGGAAAGGAATTAAGGACTATTGTAGAGAGGGCGGGACAGGAGGGTGAGCTCTGTCTGTACACAATATCCCCACCTGGCACTGATTTCAAGTTCTGCAGCTCCTGATGCAGAAGAACAGAGAGATGAAGATGGGCTACGAGCATTTTCTACCTGTGTGCATCATTCACTTCCCAGAGGGACACACACGTGCTTGTTCCCAGTTACAAGCAATGCATATTGGTGTTCAGATGTTCTTTGGGGAACTTCTCTCTTACTGTGGTTTGAATTGGAGGGGACCCTTAAAGGCCATCTGGTCCCACTGCCTGCAGTGTACAGGGAGCACCATCAGGTGCTCAAAGCTCCTCCAGCCTGACCTGAGGGTCTCCATGAATCATAGAATTGCAAGACTGGAAACAACCTGCAAGATCATCTAGTCCAACCATCCTCCCATCACCATTGCACCACAAGCACTAAACCAGATCTCGCAGCTCCTCATCCAGGCACCTCTTGAAAACCGCCAGGGATGGCGACTCCACCACCTCCCTGGGCAGCCATTCCAGTGCCTGAGAGAAAAAGTTTTTCCTTATGTCTAACCTAAACCTCCTCTGGTACAACTTGCAGCCATTTCCTTGGGTCCTGTTTGTTGCCTGGGAGAAGAGGCCAACATGGATGGGACACCAGCACCTCTCTGGGCAAGTGGCCTTAGCGTAAAACACTTTTTCCTTATATCCAGTCTAGATCTCCTCTCTTTGAGTTAGAAACCATTCCCCCTTGCCGTATCACAGCAGACCCTGCTGGGAAGCTTGTCCCCTTTCAGCAGGGGGGGAAGGAAACAGGAGGGGACAGAGGCAGGAGATGTTCTGTTTTCTGAATCGATTGCATGGCTTCCATCTGGACGGCGATGCTGCCAGCACACTGCCTGCTTAGCAAGAGCTTCAAAGTGCATAATTCACCTAATACATCAGATTTAGAAAAGGAAAAAAGAAAAAAAAAAAAAAAGAGGTGATCTCCCACAGAAACAAACTCAGGGCGAGCAGCCAGCTCACCGTCTTCCTGAACAAGAACACAACGGGAAGCACGGCTACAAAACCCCTAAAGGGCATCAGAAGGAAACACCTCTTGTGATGGGCAGAGCGTGAAGGCAGACAGGGCAGCGTCCACCCGCGCTGCTGACCGCAGCCAACCCAGCAGGTAACACAGACGAAACCACGGGCTGCGCAGCTGAGAGGAAGAGCTGTTTCAGAACAAAAGGGTCATCAACCAAACGGCGACAGCATCACCTCTAACCGCGGGCAGGACGGTGAGAGCACCCACAATCGGGCGGGGCTGCGAGAGGGGCAGCTTCCTCAGGGGCTCCTCTCCACTAAGAAAACACAAATCGGCCCTTCGTACATCCCTCAGAACAAGAGGAGCGTCGGCAAAGGGAACACGGAGGCTCGGAGCCGCCCGGCCCGGCACCACCTGCAGCCCCGCCCCGCCCGCGCCGTACCTGAGCGTGGGGCCGATGCAGGCCGTGTCGGTGCTTTCGATCTCCCGCAGGATCCTCTCGTGCTCCGCCGCCGTCTCTATGCTCTCCAGCTCCGCCATCTTCACACGGTGGGGGCGGAGAGGGGGTGAAAGGGGGGGAGATGGGGGAGTTGTTCCGGCGGGGCACCCAGCAGCGCCGTGCCGCCCGGCGGACCCCACCTACCTGCCGGCCCGCCCAGCTCCGCTCGGCCCGGCCCGGCCGCGGGGCACGCCGGGAAACGTAGTGCGGGAACGCGCTGAGGCGGGAGGAGCCGTGAGGGGAGGAGGGAGGGGCGGGGCGGGGCGTGAATGGCGGCAACGCGAGGCTGCGTCATAGCAGCAACTCACGGTGTGTCAGCACGGCAGTGACGTCATAACGTGTCCCCATGGCAGTGACATCACAGTGTGTCCCCATGGCAGTGACCTTCATAGTGTGTCTCCACGAAGGGACACAGCCCCATGGAAGTGTCATCATAATGTGTCCCCATAACAATGACCTCACAATGTGCTCCCATGAAGGGGCACAGCCCCAAAGCAGTGACCTCACAATGTGTCCCCATGGCAGTAACATCACAATGTGTCCCCGTGAAGGGACACAACCCCATAGAAGTGCCATCATAATGTGTCCCCATGGCAGTGACCTCACAATGTGTCCCTATGAAGGGACACAGCTCCATGGCACTGACCTCACAATGTGTCCCCATGGCAGTGACCTTCATAGTGTGTCCCCATGAGGAGACACAGCCCCATAGAAGTGTCATCATAATGTGTCCCCATGGCAGTGACCTCACAATGTGTCGCCATGAAGGGACACAGCCCCATGGCAGCGTCTTCACAGTGTGTCCCCATGAAGCAATATAGCCCCATGGCAGTGACCTCATAATATGTCCCCATGAAGGGGCACAGCCCCATGGCAGTGACCTCATAGTGTGTTTCCATGGCAGTGAACTTCATAGTGTGTCCCCATGAGGAGACACAGCCCCATAGAAGTGTCATCACAATGTGTCCCCATGGCAGTGACCTCACAATGTGTCCCCATGAAGGGGCACAGCCCCATGGCAATGACCCCATAACATGTCCCCATGGTGATGATCTCATAACATGTCCCCAAGAAGGGGCACAGCCCCAAAGCAGTGACCTCACAATGTGTCCCCATAACAATGACCTCACAATGTGTCCCCCTGAGGGGGCACAGCCCTATGCCACTGACCTCATAATGTGTTCCCATGGCAGTGACCTTATAATGTGTCGCCATGAAGGGACACAGCTCCATGCCATGACCTCACAATGTGTCCCCACAGCAGTGGCTTCATAACATGTCCCCATGGCAGTGATCTCTTAATATGACCCCATAAGGGGGCACAGCCCCATGACAATGACCTCATATTACACCCCCATGGCAGTGACCTTCCTAATGTGTCCCCACGAAGGGACACAGCCCCAAGGCAGTGACATCATAACATAACCCCACAGCAGTGACCTCACAGTGTGTCCCCATGAGGAGATGCAGACCCATGGAAGTGACATCATAACGTGTCCTCATTGTAGTGATTTTCATAATCTGTTTCCATGAGGGGGCACAACCCCATGGCCTCATGACCTCATAAAGTGATCCCATGGAAATGACCCTCACAGTGTGTCCCAGTGGCATTGACCTCACACCACATCCCCATAAGGGGATGCAGCCCCAGGGCAGTGACCTCATGCCACATCCTCATGAGGAGACACTGCTCCATGGCAGTTATCTTCTGTCATCTTCCACAAGGGGACACAGCCCCATGGCAGTGACCCTATGCCTCGTCCCCATGAAAGGACACAGCCCCATCTTAGCAAACCCGTGCCATCTGCCATGAGACATCACAACCCCTTGGCCACAGCACCCTGCCATGAGAGGACACAGCCCCACGGCAGTGACTTTCTGTAGTCTCCCTCAGGGGTCACAACCCTAATATCCATCCATGAGAGATCACAACCCCATGGCAGTGCTGTTCCCCCTTGAGGGGAAACAGAGCCACGTTGGTGACCCCGTATTGTCTCCCATGAGAGGTCACAGTCCCTTGGTCATGATATCCCTCTAAGAGGGGTCACAACCCTATAGTAGAGACATTCCCCCTTGAAGGGACACAGGCCCAAGGCAATGACCCCATGGCAGTGGGGGTCACAAACCCATTTCATCCCCCAGGAGGGGTCACAACTCCATAGCAGTGACCATATGCCATGACCCCTCAAGAGCACGCAGCCCCACTGCAGTGATATCACGTTTCATTGCAGCCCTTCCTCTGCCACTGTCAGAAGTGACACAACCCCAGAGGTGTCTGCACTCAAGGACAGCACTGCCAGCCTCCACAAACAGCCCTGGCTGCCAAGGTCTCCTCGAGAGCTTGCTGTGGCCCCCAGTGCTAATCTCTCCTTGTGAAACAACTGGTTATCATTATTATTATTATCCCGTGTTGTGAAAACTGTGCTGGAAGGGCTCTATTCCCAGCTCCCTTATCACTGCACCAGGCACTGGGAGATGCCATGGTCTGTGAGATGAATGGGATGAAGAACAGAAAAGAGAACGTGCTGCCAAGCATTTCTGCTCTTGCTTTTGTCATCTCACGCTCTGAGATGGAAATAAATGAAGTTGGCTTGTAAGAGCACACCTCCAGCATCCCTCACTGCGGCTCTCCAATGGGGTCAGAATCTCTGCACCATCACTTGATTAAATGAAGCAGTGACCTCCCAGCATACTGTGCATGGCTATAACGATACAGGAGGAGCAGGGAAAGCCTGACAAAAACTTTGTTATCTCCTCTGAAGTTCACCAGCTCTTGCATGTCATGCCTACGGCTGCCAAACCCAGTGCCGTGCGGGACCAGATGGATGTCACTTTGGATGTGTTAACACCCGCCAGGAAATCTGCGCTCCGATGGCAGTCACCATGGAGATCCGATGGAAGCCTTTGGAGGACCAGAAGCAAAGAGACGTGTCAGTGATATCATGGAAGGAGATAAAAATAGCAGGGCAGTTTCTGAGCCCAGCAGACTGGCGTAGCATTCCCCCAGGGCTGGTTTGCCATCCGCCGGGAGCGGAGCGCTGTGCATTTTGCGCTCTCCCTCATGCTGGCAGAAGGCTGGTGCCTCCAGCAACGCAGCTCCCAACTGCAGCCCCCCAGGGCAAAACAGAGAGAGGAGATGGGCTGGCATTCAATGTCTTTGGGCTCCAGACCACTGAGATGAGCTACCTGTGGCTGCAGGAGGCGTATCACGCGCTGCTCGCTGTGATACATGCCCGGTTCCAGTGTAAAACCCCCATCCACCGCTGTTAAATTACAGCTAAGAAGATTACTGTTTTCATCTCAATTAGTAGGGATCTGAGCCAATGTTCCCGAAATCAATGGTAAATATTGCATTGTCTTCACTGAGCTTCAGAAATAGGATTAAGAGCCAGAGGACGGAGCGTGGGAGGCTGGCAATTGTGTTGAACAGTTTGAGTTACAGTATGGGGAATGATATCGAAGCCAGGTTTGATCCTGATGTTTAGTTGGGTAATGGTGGCATCACAAATAATGCTCTCAGTAAGGGTCTGGTCTTCAAGAAATGGGTAGATATGGCACTGCATGACATGGTGATGGGCTGGTGTTGAACCTTGGAGGTCTTTTCCAACCTTAATGATTCTATAATTTTATGAGTCCCTTATGAAGACACTGTTTTGTCCACCAGACTGTATTATAGGGGGGTTGAGCACAGAAATGGGAACCTAGACGTGAATTAATCACCAAATTGTGATGCTGATTTTACTCTTACCTCCCTCTACCAGCACAAAGAGGGGGATGCTACTTTCAGCTTTGGCAAGAAGAGGATGCCAGTGCATGGAGCATGGTGTAGCTCAGCCAGCAAGGCACATCCCGTAATAAAACTGAGCATGAACATCCACAGAGGAACGTGGGAAGGCAGCATGACGCACTGTGACAATGTCTAAAAAGACATTTGTTTTTAAACTGAATTAAAATAAATATCATAGAATTGCAGAATCATTCAGATTGGAAAAGACCCCTACAGATCCTATTTCCCTAAAAACCACGTTGACCGATGGGAACTGCTCTACATTCCCTCAATTTCCAGCTAACAAAGTTCCATATCAGTAGGGACACCACTTCTTTATGGGGCAGACATTGCTCTTGTGAAGCTTTAAAACTCTGTTTCAGTTCCTCACCTCCCATCAGCATTTTTCTAGCTCTGAGCTCAGCTGTAATTCTACCATTCCACTAGATGGATACCACTGTCAGGATTACTTTATTTTCAGTTCTAACAATCTCTTTCTCACTGTGCTTCCTTTGGTGGTCTCTGGTTTTTCCTTTCGTGCCATTCCTTTGTTGCACAGTTTCCAACAGCTCCTGGCATCATTGTGCCCTTGCTGTTGTCCCCACTCCTGCTGCTCGTGTCTTCCTTCCCATGGTCTTCTGGCCCAACCCATGAGCAAAGCATGGTTACAAATGGGATGGAAGGGCAGCCAGATGGACTCACCCCCCTTGCTGTTGGATGCTCAGATAAACCCAGTGGGCACATCTCTTCCCCTGCACTGTGTGTCCCTGGCAATCACCCACACCCTGCGAGCTCCCTGCTCTCCCCAACCTCATCCTTCTCCCAGCTCCTCTGTCTCCATAGGGTTTATTCCCCAGCAGCAGGAACGAATGCACCCATCCCACACTGTACCATGGGTGAACCCATGACTCAGCTCCAAGTCAGCCCGTCCTGTTTACCCTGGGTGTGCAGCAGCCTCATTTCCTCCATCCACGCCGACCTTTAGCACTGAGCAAAGCTCCACAGCCCTGAGAAGTGCCTGCATTTCATTCAGCTGCTCACTGCTGTCTCACCCCTTGGGCCAATATTCCTTTATTTTCTTGCAGAGCTCAGATAGCAGCTACATTCCCTGCCCTTACAGAACCCCACTGCAGTTCTCTTGGCACCGACCATCACCATCCCACACACTCGGATGCCACCCACAGAAACAATAGCAGCTGGACAGGTTTTGGGGAGCAAAACTCCAAAAATGGGTTTTTTGGGGCAGTTTTCCCACCCAGACTGCTCTCCCTCAGGTAGGTGCAAACCACCCAAACCCTCTCTGCTCCTGCCCTCCAGTTTGTTGCTCCTTCATTGGCATCCTCAAGGTAATGCAGTTCTCTAGAGCACACTTACAGAGGATAAATTCCAGCCTTCCAGCCACCAGTGTCTTAAAATCCTGTTCTGCTTCACATCAAGACTTGTCAAGACTGAAATAAGATCCTCTGATATTACCATGCCATTCCCCAGACCCCTTCATGGGAGTTGTTTCAGTGCTTCTAATCACAGCTTCTGCTTTCTCATGCATTTTATTACACCTTTGTTTTCAAATACAGGAGATTAATAGAATAGAGGAACTGACACAATGTTCAGATGGACTTCAGATGCAGTCTGAACTGAGCTCTGGCCTTCAAAGGTTGGGGAGAACTTTTCAACCTGAGTTTCTGATTCAAAGACAGAGACATGGATCTCTGGTGGCAGCGGTGAGGTGAAAACCTTTTGGTAAGCTGCACTGGGATTCCCAAAGACCTGCCATAAGCCATCAGTGCAACACAGTTCTTGGTCAAGAACCATGTAGATGCGGCACTTGGGGACGTGGTTTAGTGGGCATGGTGGGGATGGATTGGGGTTGGACTCAATCTTAGAGGTCTTTTCCCACTTAATAATTCTCTGAATGGACATGGTAGGGGCGGGTTGACAATTGGACTCAGTGACCCTAGGAGTCTTTTCCAACAGTAATCAGTTCTACAATTCTATGTGATGGCTTCATCTGGACAGGAGAGCACAAGGGCAGAGCCCACCTGAGGCTCAGAGCTGGCTCTGGGTTT